CACGAAATAACGTATAATACGTACATTGTACGAGATTCTTTCCGGTCGAAGACAATCTCGACGGGTGGTATGCATGCCGTTTGCGCCGAGAAAAAATGGCGCCCAAAACGGCATTCGTTTACGACACGTTTGCTGGTGGTTTTACGCGTCCTTTAATAGCTTGCTACACATTAAATATTAATAGACGCGAACAGAAAAAAAACTCCAATAAAAAATACTGATAACTGTAATGATGAACTAATACGAACGGTGTCCACTGCGTTTCGTAGTACTAATTTCGTTTTTCGGCGTACAAACCATAAACACATTACACTTTCTATTTCTCTGCTCAGGCACAAAAACGATATCATAAACTGTTATTATAAAATGTTACTTACATACTTTTGACACTTGTCAAGACTTCGATTAAGCAGCAGATGGCTAAAGGTCTGCTATCCCGAGATGCCGAGTGTTTGTCAAAAACTTAATTGAACTTACGAAAAAATATTTCGTCAACAACTACATACGAGGACGATGATGAAATTGTAGGCGATCACGGATCTGCTGTGTCAAGATATCGATGTTTAATTAGAACTTTAACTGAACGCACGAAAAATATAAAAAAAAAACTGATACTGCTGTGGCGAGATATCGGTGATTAATTAAAACTAACTGAAAAAAAAAAAACTAATAAAAAAGAGTAAAAACTATGAAGATGATAGACTTTCCCTATCTCTCACAATGAACACAAAAAATATGGACGCATGGGTAATGAGTAACAATGTCATTATAGGTAGTCGAATGATCAGACCGACGCTAAGGAGTCGAGGGTGAATAAAACATCCGCCAGAGGGCTCAATCGGCGTCCCATCGTGTGTATCGATCACACTTGTGGACCTTTAGTGTAAACATTATTGTCCAACCAGAACGAAAGGTTATCTGAGGAAGTTGAGAGGAGGGAAGGTTCGGAGGCCTAAAATCGAAATTGGAAATATTCAACACGTCCAAACGACAACATGACCACGAAATACGACGGAGCCGCAGGGTCACAAGTAATCGCATCACTAACGTCGCCGTAGTGAACACACTGTTGAGAATTGTGGTAAACAACATATCATTTTCTCATGTTGAATTTAAATTTTAACGCGGATAATTATTTTATATTCATATTGTTCATCTTTAAAATGTATAAGCCATATTTTTAACGTTTAATTTAAATATTACAATAAAAAAAAAAAATGATAACAATTAAATAGACACCGGTAATCATATCTTATAATATACGTTATACATAATTATATATAATTGTATATATACACACAAATATATTATACACAGTTAAAACTAATATTTAAAACATAAATATCAAACGTGAATATCAAAGACCATTAATTTAATAATATATACATATAATATTTTTTCACAGATTTTCCATATTATTATTATGAAGAAAGTTAATCATTGATGAAATATATTTCCACTTTTTGTCAAAATGTTCTTTCGAGTTCCATCGCTCTTGACCCTCTTGGTTGGCGGAAAGTACAAAAAATGTGTAATTTAAATAAAATTTAAATTTTCTTATAAACTGAATATAAATATTTTTTAGGTTAAAACTACCACTCCCTCCCCCTGGTACCCCAGGAGACAATATTCAGATATTGTGGCCTTTTTAAATTTTTTTTTTTCCGACTACCTATTATATAACTTTGGCGCCAATGGTAACATACAGTAGAACCCCTCTAATCCGTCACCTTCGTGACTCGGGGTGTGATTGGAACGCGAAAAAAGTCGCATTATCAGAATATACAGAAACATTTGACGAAAAATTTTTATTAAATTTATTTATTTAACTATTTCAAATATTATTTTAAATTACATACATATATTAAATTCAATAAATAATTAAATAAAATAAATAAAAAATAAATAAATAGTAAACTGGCAATTAATTTTATAAATATATCTAGCTACATACTATAAATAGGAAAATCCAAATGCTCATTAAGAATTCATATCGATAATACTATGGTCGGAATAACTGAAGTGGCGGACGAGAGGGAATCTACTGTATATACAAAGTTGTGTCTACGGGGATAGCAGAGTGGGTAGCTGCCTTTCTAGCGCCTTATTAGAAGGTTTTACTGTCCGAGTCGTTTATAATAAAATATTAAACAATTAAAATAATTTTTAATTAAGAATTATAATATTAAATAAAAACAAAGTTACGCCATTACTAAGTTAAAATAGATATAAACTTTTTTAATACTCCCAATTGAAAAAAATCTAGTAAATAAACTGAACAGACAATTATTCAGCTAATGAATGCGTTAAATTATTTAGTTTTGTTTCAAATATTAATTGGATAGTTCATCATAAATTAGCTAATCCCCAGAAGTATATATTTTTATAACCAATTTTTTTCTCTTCATATAATGGTTCTATAGAAATGGACAAATAGACAGTTTCCATTGACTAATCTATAATATAGGTAGTATATTACTGTAATTATTTTTATATATAGTATAGGAAAACTTTTAGTCTAAATTACTAATAGATATATTAGACAAATATCTATCAAAAAATGTTTAGTCATAACTCACTTTTATTGAATAACAAATTTGTTTCTAATATAATATAAACTTATAGGTATAATTATATTATATCTTCTTAAATTAAGTATATAAAAATATTTTTTAATGTATAATTTCATAATGCATAGTTCAAATTAATGACATTTATATGATGATCATTATAGATGATTTTTGCGCCTAATTAATAGCTAATATAAGGCTAAAATACTTTTCAATTATTTGGAACCCATCTTAAATTAAAATTTTATAAATTTAATATTGAGAAGAAATTTCAATTCAAAACTAGGGGAATAATAGATGAATAAGTTCATGGGCTTAAAATATGTTAGCTATATAATATATATACAATATAAATGTTAGCTAAAAATATTTTACATAGTAACATTTAAAATATATGATATACTATATTTAAATAACAGTAGTATTTATGAATGCTCTTTAAGAGAAATATCATATTAGTTGTGTTATAAAATTGATGTTTCAAAAACCCTGCATAAATAATTATATAATTTCATAATATGCAGTATATTTATGAAAAAAATAAGTAATTAAGATAATAAGATAAAGTATCAGTTACATATTATATATAAATATATTTTTAATTTTCCTTTGTTCGCACATTACAGCAAAATACATATTATAAAAATGATAAATAATTTTATTATACTCAAATAATTTTTCTCTTAAATGTCAAATGTTATTTATAATACCCTTTAAAATAAGTTCCTTAATTAATTAAGACTTTATATTATAATCACATATAATTACAAAACATCTATACATAAATCAGACACTGATGTTTTCATTATGTATTTCAGCACTTTATTATAATATACCTAAAAAATTAATTATATTTATATATTTACTAGGTATTGATTATATAAATTATTTAAATTTTTATATAATATATTTTGTACACTGTATATTATGAATGTCTATGATATTATGGTAATAAATAATTTGGAATGATAAGAAAATTTGGAATATACATAATAATAATGAAATACAGATTATATATAAAATATAAATATTACACTAATACTTGCGAATTGCCTCGTTTACACGTGACGAATGCTGTCCCGTGTGAACTCAAGAAACAATTACTTGGCACTGTAAAATGAACAAGCGGGTGAATAGAAACGGTTTCTATTCCTTCGGCCGAGCGACTACCCTCCATACCAAAATTGACTGTAACTACTCGGCGTGTCTAAACATTTGCGTGACTACGCGATAACACTCGGCTGGCGGTTTAGACACGCCAAGTACAGTTAATTTTGGATGTGGGGGAAGTCCCTCGGCCCAGCAAATAAAAGGCGTATAAACGCTGACTCGACAAACTTCAGTACCTACTAGACCGACCAACAAAACAAGTTTCTCGGCCAAGCACTCGTTACGTGAAACGAGGTATAAACGTCGACACAATTATGATTTACGCATTTTGAATTTCGTCTTATAATGATGATAATATTGTAGACTCTCGGTGCCTCATCTAGATATGATGGACCATATTATCAATTATTGAAGGGCATCTCCGCAACATTTTTGAATATATGAGTGTTTAAAACTGTAGACTGCTATTTTCATAATAAAGTTCTTAATGCAACTGAAAATATTTTACCTATGAAATCTTCGACCTCCTTTAGCTAAGCGAATTTTACATACCATTACACAACAAGTATACACATTGTTTTATGTTTTTTTACATTATTACTAACTTCTCTAGTCAATGGATATAAAGCAGTACTTAAAAAGATATGGACATACTCTGTAATGTTTATGTAAAAAAGTACCATCAATGAATATTTATAATCAATGGTACCACTAATGGTTTTACTTTATTCGTAAATATTGTGATATGAACGCATATATAAGGTCACGAAATATATAATTTACTACTATCGTTATTATATTCGTGGGGTGCATTCGAATATTTGAAATTAGAGTAAAGTAGAATTTAATCAAGATCATTCCAAAAATGTGAACAGTGAACTTTTTTATATAATAAAAACATTTTTATAAACGATTGAAAATCTTAAGAAAATGTATTCTACAATTTGTTTAAATTATATGTTATAATTATTCCAAGATGGTACAAGATGATTTGAAAACCTGTTTGTTATTCGATTCAATGGAAAAATTATTATCATAGTAAGTATAATATAAACAAAATGCATTCAAGTGAGATTAAAATTGTGTACAATAAAAAGTGTGGTATTAGGCAAACACTGCAATAAATGTGTATGATAAAAACTATAATTTCAAAGTTACCACAAACTACAAAATAAAAACGATAGCATTGAAAATAAAATGAAATATACCTATGCACATACTTGTTATTTATACATTATGATAAGATTTATTATTAGTAGATTAACGAATAACCTATCTTTTTCATTCGCGGTAATAAGAGTTAACTCTAAGTATAGAACATGTTTCCGAACGAAAATCGTAGAGTTAACTCAGTATTTTCAAACGACGCGCAGTTGACTAGAGTTAACTCGAGTTTATTATAGTTGAGTTTTCGAACAATATAGCCATAGTTAATTTAATGTAATTTTCAATAAATTATTATAAAGTATAATATGGGCAAGTTCCTGTCCATAAGTAATTACATTAAATTAATTATGGCTACATTTTTAATAAATGTATGTTTTGTCCAATTCGATTTTAATTTAAGTTTTTTTGTGGACGAATTAATGAAATATAATATCTCGTCGTATCACTAAGATACGTAACATGATTGGTTTAACCATGTTAACATAGTTAATGTTTTGTTCTTAGGAAAAATGTAATGAAGAGAATATAAAAACAAAGATTAAAAAATATTTTGTGGTTTGCTATAAAGGAAAAGTAAGTAACTTACTCTCGTACTAAATTATGAATCTTTTAAATTGTTCAACCAAAATGCATTTTATATTTTATTACATTTATTTAATAATGAAAATAAATAATTTATAACTTACAGTAAGTTGAACTGGAGGTGTGTCCTTTGCATAAATAGAACGTCCAAAATCAGCCATTCGACTTGAGCTATAACTGTACGTATGTTATTTGTGTCAATAGAATGTCCAAGCTTAGCTATTCGAGTTGGGATAATGGTAAACTTGAAAATCAAACATAGACATCTGGACAAATTAAAATGTACATGTATTACAAACAGCTCTTTATAAATTATAAAATAGTTATATGAAACGTGATAAGATAGTATTATGTCCTTATCTCTGTGACCAAATTAGTCTAACAACTTGGTAAATTCTGACATCCTATTATTTTATTTTATAAAATAATTCAGGGCAAGGCCCATGAACATAGTGATATGATATGATATATATATGATAAACAAATGTATACGAATTAACGGTAATTGAGACATTTAATGTCAATGATTATAACGGGTAAAAATGAACGGATTATAATAAATGGTAGGTATATTATATTCATACAAGTTTCCTACGCAGACCATATAAAATAAATATATATATTTAACATTGAATAGGTAAATTATAAACTACAAACTGAATAGGTTGGCTTCACTCGTGTGTTAAATAATTGATTCGTATATACATTGGTTTTTTATTATAATTAAATTGTTTAAATCAATATAATATATATCATTTTTATAATGAAGACAACCATTAGCAAAAAGCACGGTACAAAAACGTGTTTATGCGTTTCAATAATACAACTTACTGAGTGGTTTTATAATGAATTTTTTTATGAAGTTATAAAAAAAATTTTTATAGAAAAGGTTTTGTGTGGCTTGAGGCCATATTTTTAGAGACTATAATATAGTTTATGTGATATATCTAACTAAAATATTAACGATCAAAAATTATGTGTGGTCAGTGCCAAATTAAACATTTGTAGGCCCCTAGGCAATTAAAATTTTTGGTCTCACAAAATTATTTTTTACATACATCTTTAACATTACTATCCAATAATTAAAATAAATAGCTTTAATAGTAACCAACTATAATTATTAAATAAAATCATGTTTATTTATTTTTTTTATTTGCAAGAAAAATGAATGAATCATTCATTATAATATTTCTATTTTTTTCAAAATAATTTTATTTTTATATTTCATAATGACTTTAGTCCTATAAATTCGTAAATAAAAAAAAATATAGTTTTCCGTTTTCATAGGGCCTCTTAAATGAGTGAGGCCCTAAAGCGGGCGCCTACTCTGCCTAATGGGTACCTAATCCGTTACTGTGTGTGGTGAATCGATTGAAACAGCATAGTGGTAAAATGATAAAAAAAAATAAAAACTAAAATACCCGTTTTAGCTTATTAATTTTAATCGCCTTTTACACTAAGTATTTATTTTATATAATATACTTTCTATGCATATTTAATTCATAAAATAAATTTTGAATCGAAAGACCAAAACAAAAAAAATATTTTTATTTTCTCATAACCTCCTCAGTTAGTGTGTCTGCTTAAGTCGTGTAGATTACAAGTAAAATGAATTCAATTCCGTTCTGTGGTTTTTTTTACGTGTTAGTATATGTTTTATTTTAGCTTAAAAAATTTCCAAATTGTGTAATATAAAATAAAACTAAAATCTGACAGTCAGATTCAGTTGGATCATTATTTTCAAGTGCAAGGTCAAATGCTTATTTGTTAAAAAAAACTTTGTTTTGTAGTACATTCGGCTAATTAAATTGAAATTCAGAAAATAGTTTATGGTTGTTCATTTTGGTCTTAAAAAAAGGTTGAAAAATTAGAAACATGAGAAATTTTAATTTTAATTTTAAATATTTAAGCTTAATGTAGAGAATATTAGTTAATAAATATTATTCCATTTCTTTTTAGTTTATATATATCTTGTTTATTAGGTAAGTACCAGAAATAATATAGCAAACGGTTAATTTTAATTGACATAAAATAACTCTACATGTATTTGAAAATATTATTAAATTAAAAAATAATAATAATCATATTATATTTATATTTAATATTTTAAAATTATATAACTTTTGATGTGCATTAAATTATATTATCATATTTATACACATAAAGAAAAACCTCATAAAGAAATTTAAAAAAATAATATATAAATCAACTATATCATTGTTAATATAGGTTCAAAAAACTATATTGTTAATAACAAAATTGTAATATTGTTTATTACCAGATAAACAAACAGCAATGTCATTTGTTCAAAATCTTGTCTGATTAAATTATATTTACCTGTTAATTTTTCAGTCAACAGACTTTTTATTTGGTTAAATTAACAAATTATATAGTCTAATAATTAGAATTTTATTAATTATTAACAAATCATTGTATAAAGTTAACAGTTAACATTTTGTGCAATTATTATAACTGCCATTTAAATTGTTATTAATTCAACTGTAAATAATGGTTAATTTAAAGAAGTTAATTTGTTGGGTATTATAAAACTCAATTTGGTAGGGTCTGAAAATCGATAAACAATAAATAATCCTCGAGCAATTTGATTCTTTATTAAAACATTTGTTTAAATTTAGCCCCCTTCAGATCCTTGACTTAAGTGACGCCTATGGTGTCAAACTTTTAACTGTATATACTTTATTATTATTTTTTAAATATTCAAAACTTGTAAGAGATTTAAACCAAATGGATTACGCTAAACTAACTAACAAATCAATTGTAGTTCATAAATCAATAAAATGAAACTTATAAACATACATTTTTCTTATGTTGAAGTTTTTTTATGATACATTCCCTCCCCAAAATACATTCCTACAGAGCTGTATATAGTTTAGAAAATATAAAATCACTAAGCTTTCAAATACTTTAAAATATAAGCTATATTCTTTTTTTATTTTTATTCAACTTCTAGCAGTGACCATTACTATTTGTCTGTACAATTTTGTATCATTAAATAAATTATACAACATGAGGATATTTTGTGTTTTATCTAATACTTACAAGTTGGAAAATTATGCTAAAATAATAACATAGGTAAGATAAAAATAACAAAATACATTTTTTAGGTAAAATTAATAAGTTTATTTATTAATTGTTTATTATAAATATGGTTATTTAAGTTCAGATATAATATATTTAATTAGTGGACATGCTTTATTAAACTGTATTTTAATGTTATAAAAAAAACATTAAATAAACAACTAAATAGATAATACTAAAGGATATTCTATGTTAAACACATAGTAAATTTTAAAACACATATCCAAGGCTTTGATAATAGAAAAAATACATATTTTGATTCATAAAAATAAACCATGATTTGCAATGGATTTGAAAATATATACACAATCACTAATCAAACCTAATAATAGGCATTTTTTTTTAACTTCATCATTTACTCTAGCTCAACTGCTGCATTTGCAACTATCATAAACGTTTTCTGTGAATTTTATTTGAAAATGTATGTTAATATTTTTTCCCATCTAAATCAGTGAAAAACTTGTAGTGTAAATGAAATCAGCATGTAAACTACAACACTACGACATTTTTTTTAATCTGAAAAAAATTAATTAGTTTTGAAACTAATAAGTCAATAATATATTTATTTAGGTACATTAAAAAAATTCAAGATTTTTTAGGATATAGTGATGTATGAACAATATACAAACAATTAAATATGAACTTATTAGATTATTTAACTCTTAAGTAAAAACTTTTAAAATTTGGATATAAGTTTATTATGTTTTGTTTATTTCAGTATGCTATTGTAGTACGCTATTCTAAACATAAAATATAAATACATACCTAATAAATTTAATATTCAATATATGGACATACAGGTTAGGTCATTAAAATAGTAGTTATTAAAACAAACGAAGAAAACATGGAAAAAAAAAATTATAATTTTTGATATGGAGTAAGTATCAATATTTATTTTAGATTTAATCTGACGAAAATAATCATAAATTATGAAACTTAAACATAAGAAAATAGTGTCTTATCATAGAAAAATAACATCTATAATAAATATAATTAGCTCATTACAATACTTAACTTACTTTCCGATGCATTATTAAAATTTTTCATGTCTTCATAAAGTATACAACAACTGAAATGATTATTTAGAAAGGGGCCAAGTCCAAAAAGTGAATATTTCGGGAAATTAAAAATAATTATTTTTCTTATAAAAATTTGGATGAAAAAAATTATAAAAAATATTTTAGATTTCCTTTTACTATAATTAATTAAATATGTGAATACCATGTTTTCAAATTTCTTTTTTAACTTATAACGTAAATTTAAATTGAACAATTTTGACCATTTTCATAAACAATAAGTTACTTAACTTTTTTCATAAATAAAATTACTAAATCATAAACGGGGTTGTGTACAATACAACGATATAAACCAAAACTACTCAGCCAATGTATTTTAGTATGACTTTTAAAATATGTTAATCATTGAAAGGAACTATTCCCAATTTTTATTTTACTTTTAAATCAACAAGTTATATATTGTATAATATTTTTTTAATTTGTGTATTTCTTAGTACTGTATGACCTAAATAAAATAATATAGGTTAGGCTTGTTAATATTTATAAATTAAAATATTAGTGTAAGTATGTTGTTATGATACATTTAGAGATTAAATTGAGATATGGTACCTGGGGGGAGGAGGGGGGTTAGTGTGAGCTATGTAATTTCAGCACCTCCAGCTATTTGGGCTTTAGTTGCGCCTATGGCAGGCACGTAGTCATGTGTTTTTATAGAAACAAATTAAAAATATTGCGGTAGTATATATATGTGTGTACTATGCACGTATTACACGTGTAAGCATATTATATTAAATATAATATGCATACACGCGTACATTTTGTAAATATTTATTTGTTTTATAAATTTTATGCATTCCGTACACGGTACACGACAAAGGTTTATAAAATAATAATTTGTCCTCCCAAATTAGCGTTTGTCGGATCGGCCCGCGGTGGCCGACTGCGGATAATGGGCGTGACACAAGCATGCGCCACGTGGAAACAGTGCTTTCTCTTGATCGTTATGTACATTTCATTTTTGGTGTGACATCCTTCTAAATTTTATTTATGATATTTATAAAGG